TCACCAGGACCTCCAGTTCTCCCTGCTTGTTTCCAAGGCTTTGTGCATTTGTATATAGGCACTTGAGATAACCTGCTGATCGCCCCTCATTCTCAGTATGAGGTAGGAGCCCTCCCCTCATAGACGTTCCTGCCTGTGCTTCCTCCCGGTATCCTGCTTGCCCACTTACCTCAGGGCTTTGGTCTCCTTCCCCCGGTGAACCTAGTTTAAACCCCTCCTCACTAGGTTACCCAGCCTGCTCGCAAAGGTGCTCTTCCCTCTCTTCGTTAGGTGGAGCCCGTCTCTGCCCAGCACTCCTCCTTCATGGAACACTATCCCATGGTCAAAGAATCCAAAGCCTTCTCTCCGACACCACCTGCGTAGCCATTCGTTGACTTCCACAATTCGACGGTCCCTACCCCGGCCTTTTCCTTCCATGGGGAGGATGGACGAGAACACCACTTGCACCTCAAACTCCTTTATCCTTCTTCCCAGAGCCACGTAGTCCGCAGTGATCCGCTCAAGGTCATTCTTGGCAGTATCATTGGTGCCCACGTGGAGAAGCAGGAAGGGGTAGCGATCCGAGGGCTTGATGAGTCTTGGCAGTCTCTCTGTCACATCACGAATCTTAGCCCCTGGCAAGCAGCAGACTTCTCTGTTTTCCCGGTCAGGGCGGCAGATAGATGACTGAGTCCCCCTGAGGAGAGAGTCCCCGACCACCACCACCTGCCTCCTTCTCTTGGGAGTGGTGGTTGTGGAACCCCCAACCTCAGGACATCGCATCTCATGCCTTCCAACCAGCCGAGTCTCCTTCTGCTTTCTCCCCCCAGACGTATCATCTGGTCCGCTCTCCGCAATAGTACCTGTGGAGAGAACATGAAAACGTTTACTTACCTGTGTCTGCGTTGCTGGTACCCGGACATTCCCCCTTCTTCTTCTGGAGGTCACATGGTGCCAAGCTTCTTCACTGGCCTCTTGGCTCTGCTGTGCAACCTGCTCTAAATCTTTAGAGCTTTGTGCCCGTAGAAGCATATCCTGACTTTTGTCCAGGAAATTCTCAGATTCTCGTATGCAACGCAAGGTCGATATCTGTTGCTCCAGACCTTCAATCTTCTCTTCCAATATGGATACTAGCTTGCACTTTGTACAGACAAAGTCGCGTCTGTCCTGTGGAAGAAAGACAAACATGGCACATCCAGTGCAGGTCACAATAACTGAACACCCCCCCTCCATATCATCTTCCTACTATGAGCTTCCTCAGAGAAGCTGGCAAGATGTAAGCCTCACTGGGCTCACCCCAGGCGAACTCCCAGGCAAACTCCTGCTGTGTGCTGCTCTGCTGTTCCCCGCTGCTCAGCTGGTCCGCCGCCGCTCAGCTGGTTGCCAGAGCTCTGGCTATTTTTAAACAGCCAGGCTTCCCTGAAACAAACAAACAGACATCCCCAATACCCACCACCCGGAGGCTACCACCCAATCAGGCTCTCGCTCAGGCTTTCAAACTGCCCTCCCAGCAAACACACACTCGGATACTCAGCAAACACACACTCGGATACTCACCAATCCCAGGCAAACTCCAAACAGAGCATTGCAAAACAAACAAAAAAACAAAACAAAAAACTTTAACTTTCCGGTGGCCTGTGTGAAAGAAGCTGGGGCCGGATTTGTAAAGATCTTTAGACACCTAAAGATCTTTACAGGTCTGGCCCTTGGTTGCTAATGGACTAGTGCCACCATCGCCAAAGCCACCATCACCCAACTGCCTACCTTGTAAACAGCTATAACAGAGAGGCCAAGGATTTGCAAAGTCACAGGTACCACACATCCGTCCCAGCCTCGAGGCAGCCATTACTCACAACTTATCTGCACACACTTTTTTCACTGGTGTAACTAAATCAGTATAAAAAACAGCTGTAGTGAAGTCAGTGTAACCCTCTCGCATGGACTCAGCTATATCCACATGGAACTGCCTTCAGGCTAGCGGGTTGCACAGATCTAACTGATTGGGGTTGAGCTCAATTTAGTTAACTTGGTGGAAACCAGTATGTAGAGCAGCCCTTACTGGACTGGAATTAAACAGGTGGCTAAGGGTATGTATGATTATACTATCAGGGTAGCCGTGTTAGTCTGTATCCACAAAAATAACAGGGAGTCCGGTGGTACCTTAAAGACTAACAGATTTATTTGGGCATAAGCTTTCGTGGGTAAAAAAACCCACTTCTTCAGATGCATTGGAGTAAAAATTACAGAAGCAGGTATTATACTGACACATGAAGAGAAGGGAGTTACCTCACAAGTGGAGAACCAGTGTTGACATTCCTGGACATTCTATAACAAATTTAAAAATAGATTCCTGGACATTCTGTAACAGATTTAAAAGTAGCTATATTTGAACAAAAAAACTTTCAGAAACAGACTTCAAAGAGAAACTGCGGAACTAAAATTCATTTGCAAATTTAACACCATTAATTTGGGCTTGAATAGGGACTGGGAGTGGCTGGCTCACTACAAAAGCAGCTTTGCCTTTCCTGGAATTGACACCTCCTCATCTATTGTTGGGAGTGGACTACATCCCTCCTGATCGAATTGGCCCTGTCAACACTGGTTCTCCACTTGTGAGGTAACTCCCTTCTCTTCATGTGTCAATATAATAATACCTGCTTCTGTAATTTTCACTCCATGCACCTGAAGAAGTGGGTTTTTTTACCCACGAAAGCTTATGCCCAAATAAATCTGTTAGTCCTTAAGTTGCTACTGGACTCCCTGTTGTTTTTATGATTACACTGCAATCACGGCGTGTGAGTGTAGCTCAAATGGCCATAATGCTAGCTGGGCTAATCTAGCTAGCTTGGGCACCAGAACAGTTGTGCAGTGCCCGCTTCAGCGTGGGTTAGTCCTGTGAGTAAACTACCCACGCTTCTGGGCAGGTTTGTACAGCCCGTGCTTCCGTAGCTTCACTGTTCAGGTACCCAGGCTAGCTAGATTAAAGGTACAAGTGCTGCAGTGGCACAGTGTAGACACCTACTGCAGCGACAGAAAGGGTGGTTCCATTGCTGTAGGAGTGGAGGGGTGGGCTCCCCTCGATCTAGCGGCATCTACAGAGGGGGTGAGTTGCCCTGTGCAGCACAGGGCATGACATTTCTCACAGTCCTAGGTCAAGCTAACGTTTTAGCTGTAGACCAGGCCTAAAGGTAGCTCAGGTTTGTCTCCCTGAGCTGCAGTCCCACCCACTGTAGGCATACCCTCATGTAAGGTGCTGCACCCCATTGAGTAATCTCTCAAGCTATCTCGGCCTGAAAAAGCCAAGCAAAGCTGAATCACAGACTGTAAGCTGGGCAGGAGGCTTTAATGTTATGCTATATATTTTTTTTCCCCTTTGCAGTCTCATTTTTCCAAGGAAGGCCTTTTCTCTTTCTTTCTCTGGAGACAAAACTACTTTTTCATTTTCCTGCAAAGAAAATAAAAGCCAAGGCCAAAGTCTGCTCACCTTATGCAGGTTTGTCCATTTCATGTCAGCTGGACCCTTCCCCTGAATCAGGGTAACTCCTGGGAAACAGGGTTGGCCGATTCAGGACCAATATTTAAAAAAAATAAATTAAAAATTCAAATTAGCCTGGCTGGGTGTGATTGTTATTGGAAGCCACCCTCCTGTGAGAGCAAAAAGACAGAAGGAATTGGGGTGAGGATCCCTCAAGGAGCAGCTGCTAGTTCTGGAAGCCCTGTGCATTGATTGAAGTGACAACAGGGCATGTGGGGAGGAATCACTAGAAACACAGGCAGCTCAGAGAGACAGGGCCTCTGCTTCAATGGTATTGATTCTCCCAGAATCCATTTAGATTCCTGGGGACCCCAGGATTTAGGCACTGGCCCTACAGCCTGTTCCATAGGGGAGCAAACCCTGGCCCCCCACAGAACAAGTGGGAACCTTGCAGAGATTTCCTTCCCTTTGTCCTTCCTTGTAGGTTTCCTGTGGAGGATGGGGCTCCAGTCTCTCTCTAATTAAAGAAAAGATGAACTGAGAATGGGAAACACTACCACCCCCATTTCGTTTCTTGTCTCACTGAAAACATGAACAGTCAGCGTAGCCTTCTTCCTGCAATCACTGTGCGATGAACACTCTGTAACAGCAAATCTGCATAGTCAGTAACACGGAAGGAAGTGCTTCCATTTAAAAAAAAAATAAATGGAAATGCACTGTGAGACTGCAGCATTGCAGAGGGTGTTCTGTACTACTCCTGCATTCCTTGGTTCCACCCTACTCTCCACTTGCTCTTTGCAGTAACATCCCCAAAGCGTATATTAACCAAAGCAGGAAAACAAGGAGAAAAAATATTTGTAAGTGGGATTTCCCCTCACTTGCATCCAGTGTCCTTTTAAATTGCTTTAATTTAAAAATTAAAGCTTTTCATGAAGATTTCTGTAAGCCAAGTTTCATGCTTTGACAGAAAATGAATGTTGGGCCTGGGCCAAGATTTCTAAGGGTCCCAGATAAAAGTCAGCTCTCACCAAGACAGTCGGTGCCAGCAAGGGGCACAGCGATACCAACTGTAACTACAAGTGCCAGTTGTAGGAGCAATTCCTGGTTTGTACGTGGTGGGAAGTGCTTCTCCTCAGGGATATGTTCAGACTAGTCAGATGAGAAGAATCAGGGCAGCTTTCTTTTAACTTCTCTTTAATACATCACCACTCTAGGCCTCAATTTACTCATCTTTGAACTAGGCATTATAATGTTCACCTGCCTCACAGGGAAATTAGGAGGCTTAATTAGTTAATGTTTAATGATTTCAGATCTGCAGATCAAAGACAGCCAGGCTCCTTAGATGCTGAAGGTGACCTAGCGAGGCTTTTATAACTAAAAAACAACAGGCCTGTTTCTTACATCTTGGGCACCTCGATTGCCTTCATTGAGGTTGCATAGAATGCTAAGGCAGAGCCAACGTGGCTCTGCACATGCAAAGGTAGCTATATATTTGCAAATGTTTTATTTCAAATATGACAGCACTGCTCCGTTTATTCTTTTCTAGGCCTCCTTAACAAGAAGTACACAGGACCCAGAGAACAACAACAACTCCGCGAGTGAGTAAGTAGCATTCAGTGTGACATTTGACAGAAAGGTACATCTTCCTTTCACATTACATCTTTAGCATCAGGGTGTGACAGTAGCAAATCATTTTATCACATATTGTGTGTCTCAGGGTAGAGAAGGCCCCTTCCTCTTCTGTACCCCACCACACGTCCCTTTGGAGCCCCCACACCCTCACTGCTGCTTCCCAAGTACCTCAGGTTAAAGCCCTAACTGAAGAAGGAAGGGGACAGTCTTGGTAAGTGATGAATTGTTGGCTAGTAAAGTTTGTGAAAATAAGCCTGAAAAAGGTAGAAATGATTTGTTTAAAGCAGCTCAGTGTAGGTTGCAAACTTAACACCATCAAATTAGGCCTGAATAAAGACTGGGAGTGGCTGGGTCACTACAAAAAGTAATTTTCCCTTTGTTGATACTCACCCCTTCTTGTCAACTGTTGAGAATGGGCCACATCCACCCTAATTTAATTGGCCTCGTTAGCATTGACCCCCCACTTGGTAAGGCAACTCCCTTTTTTTCATGTGCTGTGTATTTATACCTGCCTACTGTATTTTCCACTCCATGCATCTGATGAAGTGGGTTCTAGCCCACGAAAGCTTATGCTCAAATAAATTGGTTAGTCTCTAAGGTGCCACAAGTACTCCTTTTCTTTTTGCGGATACAGTCTAACACGGCTGCTACTCTGAAAGATCTCAGAGAATTTAAGGCCAGAAGGATACCAGATCATCTAGTCTGACCTCCTGTATGTCACAGGCCACCAACACCAGACAGCACCTGCACACTAGATCCAACAAATGAAATGAGGTCGAAGTATCACAGCCCACCAGAGACTAGACTGTTGTGTGCCACAGGCAGAGAATAGGATGGACTGAGGTGCACCAGTGCACAAGGCCCTGCAATGGGAACCTCTGCAGGGAGGGCATGAGATGGGAGTAGAGGTTGTAATGGATGCATGTGGAAGGGAGCAGAGATCAGCAGGAAGAGAAGACTATCCCTGCACACCTCCTAGGTACACATGAGGAGGGTTCCTGTGCTGTGAATATCTGGAGGTCTGCAGGAAAGGGGAGTGGAGTCAGAAGAAATTCCACACACACACTCCCCTGCACCCCACAGGACATGTTCCCTTAGGAGAGCCAAGTTTCAGCTGGAGCACAGCACTGAGTTTCAGTCCTGGACACTCTGGGGTGCAGAAGAAGGGAGATGGGTCATGTGGCCCTCGGAAGGTCCTCATCCTTAGGACAGCAATCCATTGGACCTTCCAGCGTCTGGACAGGGCCCTGGGGAGGAAGCGTGATCTAGGGAGTAGTGCACTAGACCAGGGCACAGGAGACGTGATCAATTCCTGGCTCACTCACAGGCTTCCCGGGTAATCAGAAAAACCTCCAGTCTGTAAATGGGCTGATAACCTTTCCTCTGTAAAGCGGTGATAAAGCTTTGAGAACAGAGGCTGCTAATAAGGAGTTTTGAGAGGGAGTATGGAAGGGGAGTGGAAAGGGTACGAGGTACACTTGCCATTCTTTAAAACCTTTAAACTAAACTATAATCAAAACTTCTTGATTTAAACAAAAAACCCTATCATTAACCTAGGTAGCTGTAGGAAAGAATGCAGGCAGAAGCCCAGCAGCAGAGTGGGGGCTATCCTGTTTATTGCACTCAGTGTAGCATGTATGATTACCTGCCCTGTGGGCGGGTGGTGTATGTGTGCATTTGGTGCAAGGAGCTCCTGGCCCTCAGAGACTGTGTACGGGTTTTGGAGGCCAGGGTGGTGGAACTGGTGGAGCTAAGGGAGGCAGAGAAGTATGCTGATGAGGCTTTCCGGGACACTGTAGATTTGTCCCACCTCTGGTCAGACAGCCCCTGAGCTGTTAAGGAGGATGAAAGGCCCAGAGAAGGAGAGCAGTCAACTGGAACAGAGGGAAACCTTCCCATAGTTGGGACCCTCCTTCCAGATGATGTTGGGGTATCCTCTCGCACTGAGGTTACCTCTCCGGGGGAGGGAACTCCAGTCATTAGGAAAAGGCAGGTGTTAGTAATGGGAGATTTGATCATTAGAAACATAGCTGGCTGGGTTTGTGATGACTGGGAGAACCATATGGTGACTTGCCTGCCTGGTTTGAAGGTTGCGGATCTCTCGAGGCATCTAGATAGACTTATGTGTAGTGCTGAAGAGGAGCCGGTGGTCATGGTACATGTAGGTACCAGTGACATAGGGAAGGGTAGGAGAGACGTCCTGGAGGCCAAATTTAGGCTGCTAGGAAAGAGACTGAAATCCAGGACCTCTATGGTGGCATTCTCAGAAATGCTTCCAGTTCCAGGCGCAGGGCCAGGTAGGCAGGCAGAGCTTCAGAGACTCAATGCGTGGATGAGACGATGGTGTAGAGAGGAGGGGTTTAGATTTATTAGGAACTGGGGAAACTTTTGGGATAGGGGGAGCCTATACAGGAAGGATGGGCTCCACCTAAACCAAAGTGGATCCAGACTGCTGGCACTTAACGTTAAAAAGGTTGCAGAGCAATTTTTAAACTAAGAGATGGGGGAAAGCCGGTTGCTGTAAAGGCGCACGCGGATCGGACAGAGACTTCTCTTAGAGGAGAGTCTATTGATAGAGATTCGCTAGGTTTTAGTCAGGAGGTGAGGATGGAAGAGGATAAAGTATGGGCCAGATCAGACGAGAAACATTCACATAAAGAATCTTACACCTCAGAAAAGGGCAGACAAATAAACAGTGACAAGTTTTTAAAGTGCTTGTACACAAGTGCTAGAAGTCTAAATAATAAGATGGGTGAACTAGAGTGCCTTGTGTTAAAGGAGGATATTGACATAATAGGCATCACAGAAACCTGGTGCAGTGAGGACAATCAATGGGACACAATCATTCCGGGGTACAAAATATATCAGAAGGACAGAACAGGTCGTGCGGGGGCGGGGGCGGGGGGGGGGGCGGGAGGAGAGTGGCACTATATGAGAAAGAAAATGTAGAATCAAATGAAATAAAAATCTTAAATGAATCCACATTTTCCATAGAATCTCTATGACTAGTAATTCCATGCTCTAATAAGAATATAACAGTAGGGATCTACTATCGACCACCTGACCAGGACAGTGGTCGTGACGATGAAATGCTAAGGGAGATTAGAGAGGCTATCAAAATAAAAAACTCAATAATAGTGGGGGATTTCAATTATCCCCATATTGACTGTGTACATGTCACCTCAGGACAAAATGCAGAGACAAAATTTCTCGATACTTTAAATGACTGCTTCTTGGAGCAGCTGGTACAGGAACCCACAAGGGGAGAGGCAACTCTCGATCTAGTCCTGAGGGGAGCGCAGGATCTGGTTCAAGAGGTAACTATAACAGGATTGCTTGGAAATAGTGACCATAATATAATAACATTTAATATTCCTGTGATGGGAAGAACATGTCAACAGCCCAACACTGTGGCATTTAATTTCAGAACGGGGAACTATGCAAAAATGAGGAGGTTAGTTAAACAAAAATTAAAAGGTACAGTGACTAGAGTGAAATCCCTGCAAGCTGCATGGACACTTTTCAAAGGCACCATAATAGAGGCTCAACTTAAATGTTTACCCCAATTAAAAAACACAGTAAAAGAACTAAAAAAGAGCTACCGTGGCTTAACAACCATGTAAAAGAAGCAGTGAGAGATAAAAAGGCATCTTTTAAAAAGTGGAAGTCAAATCCTAGTGAGGTAAATAGAAAAGAGCATAAACACTGCCAAATTAAATGTAAAAATGTAATAAGAAAAGCCAAAAAGGAGTTTTAAGAACAGCTAGCCAAAAACTCAAAAGGTAATAACAAAATGTTTTTTAAGTACATCGGAAGCAGGAAGCCTGCTAAACAACCAGTGGGGCCCTGGATGATCGAGATACAAAAGGAGCACTTAAAGTCATTGCAGAGAAACTAAATGAATTCTTTGCTTCAGTCTTCACGGCTGAGGATGTTAGGGAGATTCCCAAACCTGAGCCATCTGTTGTATGTGACAAATCTGAGGAATTGTCACAGATTGAAGTGTCACTAGGGGAGGTTTTGGAATTAATTGAGAAACTTAACAGTAACAAGTCACCGGGACCAGATGGCATTCACTCAAGAGTTCTGAAAGAACTCAAATGTGAAATTGCGGAACTATTAACTGTGGTTTGTAACCTGTCCTTTAAATCAGCTACTATACCCAATGACTGGAAGATAGCTAATGTAACACCAATATTTAAGAAGGGCTCTAGAGGTGATCCTGGCAATTACAGACAAGTAAGTCTAACGTCAGTACTGGGCAAATTAGTTGAAACAATAGTAAAGAATAAAATTGTCAGACACATAGGAGAACATAAATTGTTGCACAAAAGTCAACATGGTTTCTGTAAAGGGAGATCATGTCTTACTAATCTATTAGAGTTCTTTGAGGGGGTCAACAAACATGTGGACATAGTGTACTTAGATTTCCAGAAAGCCTTTGTCAAGGTCCCTCATCAAAGGCTCTTACGTAAATTAAGTTGTCATGGGATAAGAGAATCATAGAATCATAGAATATCAGGGTTGGAAGGGACCTCAGGAGGTCATCTAGTCCAACCCCCTGCTCAAAGCAGGACCGATCCCCAATTAAATCATCCCAGCCAGGGCTTTGTCAAGCCTGACCTTAAAAACCTCTAAGGAAGGAGATTCTACCACCTCCCTAGGTAACGCATTCCAGTGTTTCACCACCCTCCTAGTGAAAAAGTTTTTCCTAATATCCAACCTAAACCTCCCCCACTGCAACTTGAGACCATTATTCCTTGTTCTGTCATCTGCTACCACTGAGAACAGTCTAGAGCCATCCTCTTTGGAACCCCCTTTCAGGTAGTTGAAAGCAGCTGTCAAATCCCCCCTCATTCTTCTCTTCTGTAGACTAAACATCCCCAGTTCCCTCAGCCTCTCCTCCTAACTCATGCGTTCCAGTCCCCTAATAATTTTTGTTGCCCTCCGCTGGACTCTTTCCAATTTTT